CAAGTACTTATAATTTCTAGTGCTAGTAACACTATACATATAGTAAATTGTAAGTCTCAAACTGCTGACAGAGAAGCTGGAGTTTGGAGGACAATTTGGTAACTGTCAAAATGTAACATAACCAAACCATATCATTTCGAGATTGCTTGTCTTAAAAAAAGTACAAGTTTAAATACATATGTATATGAATATTATAGAACTGCTCTAACAAATGCTATTTCCCAAGAATAATATATATAATTTTGATGCTTTCAGGTAACAGGCAGTAAATATACACCTACTTAGACCTATGTCCAAAACTAATTAGTGGGAAATACTTCTCTGCAGAAATACACGTGGTCATGCATTGCTCAGTAAGGAGAAATGCAGCTAGGCAATTTCTTCACATGTGAACATCACAGAGCGTGTTTACACAAACGAAGAGGGCTACAGCCTCAGCAATACAATGTTATGGGATCAGGTGTATACGGAATCTGTCATGACCAAAATATTTTTAAGCAGCAGATAACTACAAACATTTTTGTGAAATTAAAAATTATACAAATACTGTACAATCATATGAATATAAAAAAGGCCTGGGGGAAAATCAAATTAGTTACCTATGAAAATTGGGTTAAAAAATGAGACTATTACATTTTATATAGTTTATATTTAAGGGGCTATGACTTTTGTAATTTCAATACATAATTATAGGACTTTTCAAATTATCTCAGGTTATCCCTTTACAGAAATGAGAAGTCAAACCCTAGCAGATAATTTCAGGTACTCTGGCTGTATCACAGCGTTTTAATTTCACCTTCAAGTCTACTATTCAAACTCCTTCATTTCCCCATCAATTCTGCATCACCTGAATTCATATTGACATTCTCCCTAAATATATCATTACTAAGATTTAGCCTTGTTGAAGGCAGATTGCTTATAATTATGCACCTCCCAAAATATTCTATTGGAAGTACTTAGTACATATTAGCTGAATTTAATGTAAATTTATCTACACGCTGCATTTAGTGTATGTTAACAATCTGTACAAACGCATGTTTTTACTGTTTTAATTAGAAGCTCTAGAGCGCCCGGATATAGCTATTTAAAAAAAAAAAAAATTTGGTGTTTTTTCTCCTTCCCTATCTAGACAATATTTTCCCAGATTGCACCTGAAGTCCCAAACCCAAAGGAGACAAATCTTACCTCTTCTTACAAGGTTGTGAGCTGTTGTGAAAAAACAATGAGGCGCACAGCTAACTTTACCGTGTGCTAGCCAGTTTTAAGTACCTGCCAGAAATACATGATGAAATGTGATAGCTTAGGTTTTCCCTCATTAGGTTTGTCCAACTGACATGTACCCTAAGTAGCTTTTCCCATCAGCACTCACAGGTCAGATGACTTCCATTGCAAACTATACCCCTGTGACCAAGGGTACTATTTTTGCTTTACCAAGATCTCTGTCCCTATTGACCCTATACCTTGTATTATTCAGATCTTTGACCTCTTCCTGCGATTTTCCTATACTGTGCATCATTGAATGTACTCACGGGGTCTTTAAGCCCATTGAAATAAAAACATTCCTCAAAGATTACAAAAAAGGGGGCTGGGGATTTAGCTCAGCGGCAAAAGCGCCTGCCTGGCAAGTGCAAGGTCGTGAGTTCGGTTCCCGGTACCGGAGAAAAACCAAAAAAAAAAAAAAAAAAAAGATTACAAAAAGTTCTGCCCTATTCCATCATGCAAGATACTTTCCACTGAAAACATCCATATACCAGCTCTCGCAGGCTTCATATTCACAAAACTGAATCCTGAGCAGAAAGGCATCTTCTGTACTGACTTCCTCTTAAGGGCAGGTAAGCTTCTCCCAGAAATCTTTAGAAATTCCTCTTAGCATCTCATTTGCCTAAGTACATATAAATTACTCAGTCCTAAACCAAGTTCTGGCAAAGGGAATGCACTCTCCTGATTGATTTATAAGTTCCAAAGCGCAAGAGATCACCCAGCCAGCCAAGTCTAAGGACAAGGCCAGCTATTCCTGAATCACTTGGGTTCAAGCAAAGTATAGAAATCTGTAACTATTTGGGAGAATAAATGAATAGAGGCTACATTATTAGGGACAGTCAGTAACATCTGTATAACTATTATTTACAACTTAGTAATAATATGAGACATCAGTGAGGAATGTTCTCAAATTCTCTGTACGATCCCATGGAGGTGAGCACTGCCAGCTGTCTAGTGAGTAAGGTACATTTATGAAGCTGTACCTCAGTTCGTGCATCAGCTTTTCTGCAAGACAGAATATGGGTATCTCATGTGAAATTAGAAATGACATCAATGAGAATTTCATTTTATGCAAAACCCCAAAGAGAAAGTTTGCATACCATACTTAAGTGACTGAGAATAAAAATTAGTGTTCCAAGCTTAAAATGAACCCCAATCTCACAAATTAGAGAAAAAAAGTAAATTACTTCGATAGTAAATAAACACAGAATTTCTTTAATCTGAATAGAATGCTTCCATAAACCCAGCTGATTTTCATGCTTTAATTCTCAACTTCCAACCACTACAAAGACATCATTTTTGTAATTCATAAACCAGCTGTTAGCCAAGTTAGTATTTTCGGCCAAAACACACATATGACTTTTAACAGAATTTATTAGCCATTAAGAACCCCTTGGAAACTAAAGCTAAATGTAGCCTCCATGCTAACCACTTAATGTCAAAGCACCTGAGTAACTTCAGAGACCCTCGGGGCTGGGGATTTAGCTCAGCGGAAAAGTGCCTGCCTGGCAAGCCCAAGGTCGTGAGTGCGGTTCCTGGTACCGGAGAAAAACCAAAAAAAGACCAAAAAAAAAAAAAAAAAAAAAAAAACTTCAGAGACCCTCAACATTTCAGATTTGACCTGTCATACATAAAAATCATTAGCAAGATTCAAATCATTCAGTTCCCACATGCAAATTTACAACTAAGAGCAACATGGGTTAAGATTTTGAGACAGACAAGGCAAAATGACCCATCTGACAGAGTAAAAAATGTTACTCTGTCCTATGTGCAAGTTTCGGTTATCAAACTGCATTAGGAATGTTTTCTATGCAAAATTTAAAAGATCAGAATAAAATGACTCCTGAGTGTCACAGACACCCTTACCCTGACAGGCAAGAAAACTTGGCATGACCAAGTAAATGGAAGCAACAAGCCTCCTTTCTATCTCAAGAACCTGACATGCCCAAGGACAGGCGACTTTTCAGTGTTCTGCCAAGGCAGACTCTACATCTTTCAGAAAGACCAAAATATTGCATAGCAGAAAACAGCCAAAAGCAGATACCTTCAAGTTCTAGTTCAATGCATTCAATGGACATACTCAATTGTTTATCACCTTACTTGGGAATAGCTTTTTCTGATTTAATAACCATGGACGTGACCACAAGCTCTTCTGGCTTGCAAGCTAAACAGTTTAAGAAAAATAAACAGATCCAGTTTCTTTTGACAGCAGACTGGATTGAGGGGAGGAGGTGTAAGAATTCTTTTCTGGAACTGATATGAACATTGAGTGGAAGTCTTTGTCCTTCTAACAGTACTAGCTGGATCACAGAGGCCGTTAACATGATAGAGGCCATTTTCAGAGCATTTATATTATGCCTGAGTAAAAGTCATCATACAGGAAAAGCAAATCCAAGAGAATTACATGTCTCAATCTAGTCTCACTCCTTTAACTTTTACTGTAGGCAAAAAAATCTCTACCTGGATTTCTGAATTCTCAATGACTTAACATTTTCTGTTTTTTTGAGTGACTGAACACATGACACTGATAGAAACTTTTCGAGTCACAGTATTGTGCAGTACATGAAAAAAACTGCTCTTCACAGTGATAAAACCTATTACAAAAGTCCTCAAATAATTATGTGGAGGTATGCAATCATTAGCTAGATTTAACCAGCTTATAAAGGTAAATACGTAAAATATGTTGTACACAATTTTACGCTCAACAGTTAACCCACATTTGTAGAATGATATCCAATACTTTGTGAATTAATGTTGATTTTTAGAATATATCACACAATACTAAGCTCTTACTACCCCAAACCCAAGGTATAACATCTAAGTGAATGGACTCAAAAAACCCTCTGCTTTATGAAGTCTGAAGGTAACATTACTATTTATAATCCTCAGCAGAAATTCCCATCATTTCAGTATTAGTTTATGTTCTACTTCTTTTTGCAAGGTGATGAGGTATGCCTTTGTCAAATGGAATAAAAATATGAGTTGAATCTTGGTCTTATCAACTAATACTTTGTAATATTGGGCAAACTTGCAAGTCTTACTGAATCCATTTCCTAAGTGTAGCAACTCAGATGTGAAGTACATCAGTGTACACACACGTGTGCTGCACACACTGAGCATGTCATATGATTTAGACTTTGTTATATTTCAGAAAAATAATTTTAATATTACCTGTTTTCATAACTGATTAATTCATAAAATAGCATTTTCAGTGATTGCTCCAAATCTCAAAAATTTTTTAGTATTTAAGAACTTCAAAAAATATCAAATACTAAGAAAAAAAAAATCAACTACTGCGTAACACAATATGATAAATATAAAATGTTGAGAGATAACAGATTTAACCATCATTAAATGGTTTAACGGCAACTGCAAAATGACAACCACTTTCCTTTATAAAAAAAAGAAACTGTTCATGTTTTCGCCTCTCAACACTACATAAATTTTAACATAAATTCAGTCTGTAATTTGAGCCAAGTTAAACTATTTATTGTGAAATTGTACAGGAAAGTACTTTAAATGTTCGTATGTGTCCTTCAAAAGTAAAACTGCTTTCTTTGCTTCAGGACAATGCAGATTAAATGTAAGCTGTATTGGGATTTGGTACAGATTGCAACTATGACATTCTTATACAAACAAAAAAAGCAAACATTCAAATATCTTCAAGTATTTCACTTCATGAAAACCAACACTACAGGTGTAATGCCAGAAACTGAGATACAAAAAATTCTCGCATAAACTGTTTCTTTGCGTGCCTCTACTTCTATTTTATACCCTGTTAAAAGTAGGAGGGCGTGCCAGTTGATATATGCAACTGTAAAATAATTAAATTTTGGTCTATTTAAGAAGTGAAATAGAAAACTTTACAAAGTAGATTACAGGAAATGAAAAAAAAAATGATTAAGGATTATTTCTGTGATCAGCATAGCACTCAAAATGTTACCAGATATATAAATATTTAGCCAAAATACCAACATGATGTTACCATGTAGCGTAAGTTTTTATATTTTTATGTCCATCAAATGAACAGTAAAACAAACTGGCAATTAGACAAGAAATAAAACAGGGAAGTGTCCATCTTTACCAATTTATTTTATACAAAACAGTAGCAATGTAGAATATGGGAATTATCTTCTGCTGCCACGCAAGCAAGTTGTGAACATTCCAAGCCAATGTATACAGTTTGAAGGGGAAGGCTAAACAATAGCATCAATCATGCTACTGAACATAAGAATTTATTTAAAAAGATTAAAAATTAGATAGCAATGTCTTCTAAATATTGCTCTCATCATTGAAGACTAATGAAAAATAAAGTCTTTGTAAGTTTAAAAAAAAAAAAAAAGAAAAAACCAAGAGGCTGCTACAACACTGCCATATAGTCAAACCACCATATTCCAGTATTTCCATACGTGATAGCAGCATTATTTTTACTGAACCGTGTACAACTACATGTAGAAATACATCAAAGCAAAATACCATGGCAGTTATCTTAAGATTGAAAAGAAAGAAAGTAAAAAACAACTCTATAATGAACACACTATAAGATGAACATTTATGGAGAACGAGTCAGTATCTACATTCCTGGACTGTTCCATTCTGCCTCTCAATGAAAGTGTCAAACTCAACTGTCAACTGCATTTTTGGCCAATTTGAGTTTTTCCAGTTCTTATTATACTGCATGCTTGGAACAAAGAGGTGATAGTAAATCCTTCTACACAGTGAACTTTAAGAAGACAGCTGAAAATAAACTTACTACTTGTAAACACACACAAAAAAAAAATACAAGGTTTTTTTTAACTTCAATCAGTGCCTCCAAAGACTCTATCTTCGATATCGACCTCTCTCCCCTCGGTCTCTGTCCCGGTCACAAAGTCGCTCTCTCTCTCTTTCTCGGTCACGTCCTCTATCTCGCTCTCTGTCTCTTCTATTATCTCTAGGGCGGTCTCGCTCCCGCTCCCGGTCTCTTTCACGGGGTCTACTTCTCCGACCACTGACAACAGCTTGTGTGCGACGAAGGAAATCATCCACCCTCATATCGTAGTCATGCTAGAAAACAGAAGAAATGGGTTAGATATGCCAAAAATTTCAATGGAATTGAAAGAAATTTTTAAAAGAGAAGAAATTTTTAAAATATACTACTTTGTAGGACCTTGTTCAGAGAAATAGGATTTTGGAGGCTTAATTACACATTTACATAGATATAAATCTATTCATGTAGGTCCTACTTGATTTGACTTTCTTACCTGTCAGTTTAATGAGATTTAGGCCAAAATTATCACTTAATCATTACTATCAACCACTACTCTTGGATGCTGCCCATTATGCTAAACATCACCAACGTGGTTTCATGCAAAGGCTAACTTTTTACCTTCCCTTCAACAATGCAAGACATAACAGAACTCTGCCCTTTTTGAAACCAGAAATACTATGATCCAGATTTCTTTAAATTGTTAACTACAGAATGTGATGCACTGCAAGAAAGTAAGTATTTCAGTAAGAGTATGAAGTCCGTCCCATAGTTTACAATGCACTGAAAGATGAAGAGGTCAGAGGAGTGACCCTTGCTCTAGGTTAAGCTTTCTACTCAGTTCTCAGGCTCATCTTTATTTACTGAATTTGGTCTGTTTTCAGTTAGCCTAAATGTGTAAAGCATAAAGTTCAAAATGTAATTGCACCTAACCTTTCATATATATGGAATATATGCTAACAGGTTTATTATAAAGGTCTACAAAATAGAACTTAACAATGGCAAGTATACATCAGTAGGACACTTCCTGTCTTAAAAACCATTAGCATTTATAGAAGGCATTTTAAGACATCATAGTTCATCTAATCATCTAATCCAGCACACAGAGGCTGTATTTTTCCCTCCTGTGCGCCTGAAAATACCACTTTCAAGTTAGTCAAGATTCTCAAATTAGTTTATAGGATGTTAAAGGTCCTAAAATTTGATTTATTTTGAAGGATTACAATTTTTATGAGAAGAAAGAAAGAAATGACAATTCATAAAAATGCCTCAAAGACAGGCTAGGAATCTTGTGTTCTGGCTAACTCTCAAATATGTATATTCTTCTTATTACTTGGAAGATAAAAAAAAGTTTATTTGGCTCCACAGAACACTCAACATCCTGAAGAGTGTGTGTGTGGGGAGGAAACAGCTTGTACATCCTTTTTTAACAAAGCAACTACCTTTACATGTATAAAACAATGTGCATACAGATTATGCGTCCAACAAGTACAAGACAACTTCCAGTTTTTAAAATAAAAATTCTACTGGGAAGAAAAGAAAAACAATGCCAGTATAATGAAAACCCATAAACCTCCGAAGTAGAGGTTGACTTCCATCTGTCTGCAGAGATCAAAAAAGCTTGTCAAGGGGCTAGGGATTTAGCACAGCGGCACAGCGCCTGCCTGGCAAGTGCAAGGTTGTGAGTTCGATTCCCAGTACTGGAAACCCGCCCCCCAAAAAAAGCTTGTCAACAAGAGTGATTATTTTTCTCTATTTCTTAAAAACTGCTTATTTGTCAATCTTAGAAACTAGAGGTAAAGGAGAGGTAGAACAACTTACTTGTTTAGTAGTTTTAAGAAAACTTGGTATAAATAACTACAGGAGATAAGACTATCTGTTAAAATATACCATCTCGTCTCCAAAAATTCAGTCATACAAGGAAATAACCTAGCTAGTATTATATACTTAAAATATTACCAAAGTTTTATATGAACTTACTAAAACTTAAGTAGCTTATGATTCAACTAGTAAAAGGAAAAGAAATCTAAATAACTCAAAGCATATCATCAACCACTCCTGGTAAAAATAAGTTGTGACTTACTCCAAAACTCTGTCACTGACCATAACCTGATGTGTCTACATTTAAATTACCTACACATCATTAAACAAAATCTGGTATCCCCACATTTAAATTACCTACAGAATTCTAAGTAGTTCCCTCACACCTCTGCCTTCCTTTGCACTTACTACTCGTTTATCTCTGTATCTTGCTTCGTGTGGTACTGCATGATGTCCTGAGTAAGGGGGGTGAGCTTGAGGAGGTGGAGCATGGTGTTGATAGTAAGGATGGTGTGGAGGCTGTTCCAGTCCTGGGTAAGGGGGCTAAAGAAATAAATTAAAAAAAAAAAAAAAATTATTTTCATAAGAATATACCAAATGTCCTTTTTAAAAACCCATTCTGAGAATTCCCCTTTCCAAACCACCAAACCCAAACAAATGTGTAGTGATTTACTTTGATATATTTAAGGTTCTTCAAGATATGCTTTTTGTTGAAAAGGAAGTATTTGTAAGAAACTGTGCTTATGCATCTTCTAAGACCTAACATGTTTATAATTTTTCTAAAAATATTAAATTCTAGTAGAGAGAAGGCGTGGTGATGCATGCCTGTAATCCCATCACTCGGGAAGCTAAGGCAGGAAGATCACCGTGAGTTCGAAGCCAGCACAGTGAGTTCAAGGCCAGCCTGAAGTATATAGCAAGACCCTGCCTTGAAAAGAAAAAATGAAAAAAAAAAAAAAATTCTAATACAGAAAACTCTGATAGGATAGCACGGTATTTCCTTAGAGTTAGGCACTATCCCAAGACAGTACCTCTCTCATTAAATTCTGACAACAAATCTATGACATAGGTACTATTATTCATACTTGACAAAAAGGAAAAAGTGAGGTACCTAATTAAGCGGTACAGTCAAGATGCAACAGCAAGCATTGTGGTTCTACTTCAGTGATTTGGCTAAACACTGCACAGATCTACTCTCAATAACAATAACAAACAGTAAAAGGTAATAACCTTTAGCATTATAAAATGAATAAAGGTCAAATAAAAGATTATTTTCACTGTCAAATTCATGTATTAAACATTTCAATGTTTTTAATTTCACAAATTCACCAGAAATTTAACCTGTACACAGTAGTATGAAACCATATACTGTAAAGCAAAAAGTTGAAGATGTCACACACTTAAAAGTAGCATTTAAAATAAAAACAGAATAAAGAAACAGACAATACGATGAAGTATTTATTACTGAAATTGTAATGGTAATGTACTCTAATAATACCCAGTTTTCTTAAAGAAAAAAACTAAAAGTAAGAGGATTTAATCAATTTAAACAAAGCTAAATTTACTGAGCATTATATTAGGTACCATGTACTTTTTCTAAATTTAAAAATATCTTCTCAATAATCCTAAGGGGGTTTATAAAATTCCATTAAATGCTGAGTTACTCAAGAATACACATAATGACCCTGCCTTATACAGAATACTAGCTGATGAGTCCAAAAATAAACACCCACTGAATTTTGCAGATGAGGAAAACTAAGGGATACAGTATAAAATTTATGCCATGTGTGATGGTGCATGCCTATAATCCCAGCACTCGGGAGGCTGAGGCAGGAGGATCGATCAATGGGAGTTCAAGGTCAGCCTGGGCTACAAAGTGAGTTCGAGGCCAGATTGAATTGCATAGCAAGACCCTGTGTCTCAACAACGCCCTCCCCAAAAAAGTATAAAATGTATTACAGATCACAGAATTAGAGAATGTATCTGAACCTCCAGGTAGAGCCTGCACCAACAAACCACTACCATAAAGTGCTACTGAATATCTAAATTAAGCTTACGCTATTAAAACAACTTACACGTTTTAGGAACAGCATGCAATTACTTACTGCCAAACATTTCTACTTTAAGTTCTCTTAATAACTGTAACCATCATATTCTAAGCAAGCACTCAAAACACTGGAACTGCAAATGAAGTTAATTACAAAAACAGAATAATACAAACCATTCCTTGCCATGGTGGTGGTGGTCCCATGTTATGAAATTCCCTCACATAATCATTGTAGGACTAAAATAAAAGATGATAATGTCAATAAGAATCATCTCAGGATTAAAAACAAAATCAGATCCTGGTTTTATCTACATTAAATATATAAAACTTAATGCTTACCCCATTTAAAAACACATCTCGGCGAACTCCTGAAAATCGTCTGTTGGGAATAAGATTTGTGAAACTAAATTCAGGTAATTCATAAACTAGTTCCAAGAATGCAATTCAAAGTGAAGGAAGAGTGAACCCAACTTACCTGTCTACTTCTTGGTATCTTGGGTCCTTTAAATACCCTGTTCAAACATCAAGCATTTCAGTAAATCAAATTTATATTTTTTATTATGGCATCATAATTAAACCTTCATTACCACCTGTTTTAATTCTTATGAAATATTTACTTTCAGTGATAACTATTATTATTCCACTTTCAAAGTTTCTTATTAAGTTAGGAGCTATGTAACTCAGTAATATCACAGAATGATAAATTTCTAGAGATTTTTCATATACATCTTCTAAGTTCATGACCCAAGTTTTGCTACAATTTCATTTTGCAACCATAGGGAAGACATGGACAGAGAATTATCTTGAGGACATTTGTAATAGAACTTCCTTAAAACAAACATTATCTTCTACCTTATACACACACGCCTTGCTAGACAGACCCCAGATTACATTTTAAAAAAATGTATATTCAATGAGGATGAACACAAAATTGCAAAAGTTGCAAAAATGAAGGTATATACATTTTAAATGAAGGAATCATGGTGATAAGAGGAAGAAATCCCCCCCCCACTTCTTTAATAAGAACCCAGCAAACTAAAATATAAAAATATCTGAGTGGTCATGTTATTAGGGAAAACTATTCACACTAGTACAACAAAACTTCCCACTGGAGAAAAGAATGAGGCTTCTATCAAACTACTTTTTATGTAAGAGTGTTATAAAGCTCACATAACCCCCAGTTTTAAATTGTCAAAGTTTCGATGAGTGTATGATTGTCTTCATTTAAATGATCACTTTTCTTGATTATACCTTGTTATTTTTTAAATTCCAGTAAAGAACAGGCTAGTTGAAAAGCTGTACTTAGATTAGGAATAAAATATTTTCTATTCTCTAAAATTATGACTTTTTACTTTAGAAAATACAACACAATTTAGTTTCTAATTAAAGGTGTATGTCACCTGAATCATTAATGGAACAAAAACAAAAACTTCAGATCATTTTTTCCCTATTATCTGAAACACATGTGCAGATGAATTTCCATTTTTGCAAAATTAGCAATTTCAGAAAATTTACAGATTATGATGACACACTGGAATTTTAAAAGTAGGAAGAATTACTAATGAGTACTACTAAAGATTTTTTCAGGTTAAGTAGTCATGTCCTAATTTTTTTTTATTTTTAAAACTATAGGATCATGACAGGTTTTTGTTTTAATTACTGTAAGTCAAGTATCTGCAGGATTATAAAATATTAACCTGGTCTCTGGTGAAACTCAGGGGGATAGTCAATCCTTGGTTTCTTTCTGCTGTTATGAATATCATAATCTTCTGGTCGACGCCTACACAAATTAGACACATTAGAAATTAAACCAAAAACTGCTGGGAGAACGAACAGCAAAGCAAGAGTTTTTGATGGAGATTAAGTACAAAGAATAGCTCATTACTTGCTTTAATTAATGGTAATTCTTGGTGAGCGAATTATCTTAACATTCCTAGATTTTAATAATTTAAATTCCTATGAACCAAACCTTAAATGCACCGCTGGAGGTACGTATTCTCTGCAATCTCATGCTATGATGAGATAACCGCAAATCTGATTAAAACATATAATCTGATTAAAACATATAAATCACATTTTAGTAGTCCAAACAAAAGTAAATGAGCCATCCTCAAATTAATGTAAATATCCAGTTAAACAAAACATTTATCCAAATGAAGTTGCCATTTAAGTAAAAATGAAGAAAAAAATCAAACTTACTATACAAGAGACAATTCTAAAATCTATATATTTAAACTTACTAATGTCATTTGAGGTTAAGTCTAACAATTTCTTGAATATTTTTCCTCTGCTTTGCAGAAAATTATACTTTTCATATGATAAAAATAGAAAGTCTGATATTTAATAGAACTACTTGCCAAGTTTTAAAAATGTAATACTTTAAAAAACTAATTTTTAAATATTCCTTAATATTTATTCTTTATATACTTAGTCACATTAATGAATTAAGAAAAATTTTCCAGTACCTTAGAATAAAATTATCTTTCATGAATTGGCAAGTAACGGGTTACAAACTTTAACAGATGATAAAACTAGTTCTAACTGTATTCTTTAGAAGAAATTTTACTGCTTGCAGAGGACTGCTCTTTACCTTCATAAATCTTCAAGGTTAAAGCATTACATCATACAATATACTTCATTTTCTTAGCATTTAAAACTAAATGAACGTTTTAGAAATCCAAAATATTTAGCAAATACGTTTTTACTCATAATGCCAAATAAAAACTATACTAACCTGACATCACTTTTTTTAGCTATTTCTGAGTATTAACTAGTTGTTAATTTCTACAATAAACTTCATTCAAACTGTAAAGTTAAGTGCAATGCAATATCCCCAACCCCCCAACAGAATAAAAACAGTTGCATCTATAATAAATAATACTAAGAAAATTAAAAGCTGTTTTAAAAAATAAACATACCGCTTTCTTGTAGTTTGGGGAGTGCATTTACGACCGGTATAAAACATGATAGTAACAGTTCATATAGTAGTCCAACTACTGACTTTAAGTTGTAAGCCACATACATAAATGGAGGCCCTGGCAGGCTTGAGAGAAGGTGTAGTGGTGTATAAGTATAGTTTGCAGTCCATTGCAAAACTGAGGTAAAAACTTCACTTGTATATATTGTATTGCACTGGAAATCTCTTAGCTTAAACTTCAAAAGACATCTTGGTGCTCAGTCCTTTTAGGCCAAAAGTAAGGGGCTCTGCCAGGTTTCCTCCTACCTATTCGACAATGTCCTTAAGAAATGGGACTCTTGTTGGATTATCTGTACCTACCAAAGGATGTTTCCACCAAAAGGAAACTTAACCAAAGGTTTCATCCCATCAACCACATCCAATAGTCTTTAGCAGAATATTTTAGATTTAGCTGTATGCAAAGCTACACAAGGGAAGGTGTTGGGTAGAAGGGCTTAAACCAGTCCTTTGCAAAGACTTCTCTCCAATTCTGTAACAAGTTAAACCCCCTTTTCCTGGAAAATGCTGTTTAGTTCATAAAGTAGTGATCAATAACCATGGCGATCCTCTAAAAACCACTTTAAGTCCACAGGTACTGCCAGCATCTGGAAAAGTTGTAAACAGACACAGCAACAGCCCTTCGTTTTGGTTTGTTGCCGGGTCTCCCAGGGCCACTTGATCCCCTTTGGAAAGAACCTATTGTTTTCAGAAGCTCAGCAAGATGTGTGAATTCATTGGGTACATGTTAGAGAATATCTGGCAATGGGTTAACACATCACGGTGACAAAATCTGAAAGAGTCCCAGTAATGCTCCTCTTGAACATCAAAATAACTTAAAATATTTTATCCTCTAAATGAGGCGTCATCTTCTGAAAAAACATAAGTGATCCTTTATAAAAGTCCCATATCTGATAAGGTTTATCCAGAGACACACCTGAAAGAAAAGGCTTTTTACAAAATATTAACAATTTTTTCAAATAAAGACATCCTCCTCTTCCTCCTTTCTAGCCTGTTATTAGCAACAAATGCCTACCTCATTTCCTTTTGTACTGTATTATCAGAGTATTATTGAATCTAAACTGGTTATCACTCTTTAACAAACTTTTTTTTTGCATAAGGAAAGATCCCCATATTCCTCTTGAAAAATGACTGAGACCAAGGTGACCATGTGAAATCCTCAATGAAGCCACAAACTAGTCCATGCAGCTTGATTTGAGGATTTTCTCTTTCTTCTTTACCGCAGGACAAACTTTTGACGAATCACATTGCTCCATCATGTTATCCTGATACATGTGCCTACTATCAGTCCAAAGAACGTTTCTAACCTTCCCACATCCCGGACTGGTTCTCGACGGGATGGACGTCCTCTTGACCTGGGCTGAGAATGCATTCTTCTCTTGTGACGCATTTTATGAATGAGCTGATACAAGTCAATACTTTCATCGGGGGGAAAGAGAAGACAAAGTTGGGTTCCACACTCAAGTTCAATTTCCTAGAATAAGAAAGTAGCCATTTTTAAGACAAAAAGAGAACATTTTAAGAAACTTGTATTTTCCTGATGAACAAGAGCAAAAACTGATGTGGAGGATTTCTCCCCAAGAATGATCACCCTGGAAAAATCAAAGGAATACTTCTTTACAGAAAATATAAAAATATTAGAACACAGTAATCCATCTTAATATAATAATGTAAGAAACATAAATGATTGTGTGTGTGGCAACAACCGTAATAATTACAGACTAGTAAATCATGGAAATACTAAACAATGGCAGGCTAATCTATAGGTTATCAACTAAATTTTATTTTCAAAATTACTAAAGTACAGTAATCAAAGTGAGATTATAACTTACCAACTTTAAAATTTAGTTTCATTTTTAATAATCAACATTTTCACTTAATGAGGGAATGAAGACATAACTATTACTTCTGATTTAAAACTACACGTGGGAGCTACGAGCTTGAAAGGTTTGGATTTAGGTCAAACCACTATTCCTTTAGAAATATACAGAAATGTTATATGTTCAGAGGACTACTTTCTATTCACAAAACTTCAGCAAAGATGCTAAATGACAATTCTATAACGCACACTTCATACAAAATGCAGAAATTAGTAAACAGTGATAATACAAAGAAAAAGCATTTCAAATCAAGCTACTTCTCTTTAATCATCTTCCCTTCCATTTTATGAATAAAATTATCAGCTAGACAGGGTGGCATACTATTAACTTAATATGAGACGAAAGCAGGAGAAACCCAACTGTGAGCCCGGCCTGGGCAACTTAGCAAGACTTTGTCTCAAAAAATTAAAAAATGTCAGGCATGGTGCACACGCCTATAATCCTAGCCCTTGGGAAAGAGGTAAGTGGAACATTGCAAGTCTGAGGCTGGCCTGGGCTACACAGTGAACTCAAGGCCAGCCTATTAACTACACAGTGAGACCGTCTTCAAAAAAAAAAAGGCTAGTGAGGTAGCACAGTGTGAAGGATCTGGGTTCAACCATTATACTGACATATAAAGCTAAATTTCAACATTAGCTATCTTATTATTCAGTCATAATAACAGTAGTCATGTACTCCAAATATTATTTTCCTTTAACTTTTCATAATTCGTTTCTTTCAGAAGTGGCTTTAAAATGTCCTTCAATAAAGATCACTAGAACAGTTGACTAAGTGTACATGTTGTTCAAAGAATCACTCAAAACAACAAACCTGTCCATCACGTCCAATCTTTACTGGCTTATGTTCATTCCAAGGATTGGTGAGATGAGCCGACTTTGTGAAGGGTAATTCGCGCCTGAATACAAAGTAATACCAGTTATATTCTTTCCCAGAACCCTGCAAAAACTTTATACTTCAGTAGCCAATCACTATGTTAACTGTAATTTAAATGTGACTGAAATGGAAAAAATCACTGGTAGCATATGTTCTACAGTGTTCATTCAGAGACTAGCCTATTTGTTTTTCAAAACAAAAACAAAAACATGGATAATACAGAAGCTCCCTGACTTATAATGGTTATGTTGTGATAAATTCATGGTAAAATGAAAACACCTTAAATCAAAAGTGCATTCAGGAGTGTGTGGTGGTGTACCCAGCAACTAACAAGACTGAGGCAAGAGAACTGCAAGTTTCACAACAGCCTGGGCAGCTTAGTGGGACGCTGTCTCAAAATAAAATTTAAAAAGGCACCAGAGATGTGGCTCAGTGACACTATTTCCCTAGAATGTGCCAGGCCCACCTACTTTAATACTGCACCTCCAAAAGAGAAAGAAAGAAAAAACAAGAATATATTTAAAACATTCAACTTATCAAACACCAAAGGGGCTGGGGATTTAGCTCAGCGGCACAGCAGCTGCCTGGCAAGCGCATGGTCGTGTTCGATTCCTGGTACAGGGAAAAAAAAAAAAAAAAAACAAAACAAAACAAAAAAAAAAACGAACACCAAAGCTCAGTAACGAAGTACAATGCAGAGCAACCCTTCACCCTAGTGATTGTGTGGCTGACAGAACTGCAGCTCACTGCCCAGACCAGCATCCCACGAGCACTGCCTATCACTACTCTGGGAAAAAAGCCAACATTCAAAATTCCAGGTAAACTTTCTACTGAATACCTATCACTTTTACATGGAAGTAAAGTCAAAAGTCAAGCCATTTCAAGTCAGGGACCACTTGTAGAACTTAAGAACAAGGACCTGAAGTATTTAATGCACTAAATATTAAAGTACCCTCCTGAACTATTATTAGGTACCCTCCTGAACTATAACTATAATGATACTTTAACAGAACTTGTATCAAAATAATTATTTTCTTTAAAAACACCATTTTTAGGTCAGCCTAAAATACTTTAAAACAGAAGCCCAAATCTTTCTGCCCAAAATTTTATATCCAACATTAGTAGGATGGACTACTGAGGTCTCTAACGTCTTCCATTGCTATATACCATACATTCCCACAACATGTCAGTAAAACAGCCACTAAGTTAAAGAATATGAAGATTAAATAATCTATTAACAAACAAAACTTTTCTTTTACAATTACACAGATGTCCTCATCAATGCAAAAATGAAGGTTAATACAAGTAACTAAATCTCTTGCAAGCTATTTAAAAACGAGTAATTATTGTCTCAAGGCCAAGAAAGCATCCTTTCCCAAATATTGTACAATGGCATCAATACTGTTTCCTTTTGCCTTTACAACCATACAAACATATAAAAATGTCCACCACCTCTCTGCTAAACACTCACCATCTTGTTTCCCCAAAAAACTGTCACCAAACTTGAAATTTTTAAATTGTAACTGCAGCTTTAATTTCTAACAATACAAAAACCTCAAGGTAGCATAGCACAGCCTTACCATTCCAATACAGCATCTGAATATTTTAAGTATGCATTTTTTTTGTTAATAGCATTTATGTTATTACATGGGCAATTATTTCCATATGATAATACACTTAAGAGACAAACTATAATTCACTCATCTAGTTTTCTCTTCAGGAAAATTTAGATGGCATCCTAATTTTCCTACAGAAAGTAAAGTAATGATAGGCTATTTCTACATACAATTTTTTGCTGCTCAGTTAACAAATTATACACCACTTGCACTCTTATCTTGGCCAATGTCTGTTCAGTTCTTCACTATCCCACAGTAATAGTTTAGACTGTTCCACATTACTACCTATCTTTGTCTTCTGTTCTTTTACGTACTATTCCATAAAATAACAAGGCTCCACCCCCAATTCTATATCCCTCAATGGTTTGTTTCCATGCTCTACTTGTGCTAATATGAGTTCCTAAGAATCATTTTTCCTTGTCTATTCCTAACCAACTCCTTCATTATCTTTTTTTTTTTTTTTTGGTTTTTCTCCGATACCGGGAACCGAACTCGTGACCTTGCGCTTGCCAGGCAGGCACTTTGCCGCTGAGCTAAATCCCCAGCCCCTTCCTTCATCATCTTTAAAGTCAACTTATAATTCAAAGAACTGACATGGTCTCTTTCAGATAACATTAAAAATTAATGTATGAGGTAAATTTTCATGTACCATAAAAGCATAATTAGCTTTTTATTACCACTAATAGTAGTAACGACTGTGTTCAAAATAAGACCGATTTTTTAAGTAAACTTTTTAATCCTTATTAACACGTTTTTGGTTACATTTCTCACAGGGACTGGCACATGTATGTTAACACAGCTGAGTTCATTGCCTACTCCTTTTCTTCCCTCCCCTCCATCTTTTGTTCTCCTTTTCTTCCCCTTTGCATAACATCTAGCTTCCTCTTTCCTATTATCTATCTTTTACTTTGCTATTTATTTATACTTCGGGTTTCCCATGTAAGAAAACCAACAATATTTAAATTAGTGTCTGACTTATTTCACTTGTCATTAGTCTCAAAGCATACCTATTTTCCTACAAATAATGCTAACTTATCCTTTACAACAGAATACTCCACTGGGTATCAATACCACATTTTTTTTTCCCTATTTACCTAGCCATTCCTCTGTCGATGGACATATAAGCCATTTCCAAGACTAGCTATTATAAACTGTGCTGCAGTACACAAGGAGGCATGTACCCCTGTGATGTGATGTGTTTTACTCTTTAGGGAAGATAACAAGGGCAACGGCGCCTTGTCACAGCACTTAATATTGTTTGATTTCTTGGGGATGCCAATCTTTCTGGAGTTAATATGAAATCTCAGTGTTTTAATTTACATTTCTCTAATGGTGAGAAATACTCAAACTTTTTCATGTATTCAATGGCCATTTGTACTTTTTATGAGAAGTATTCATTTTGGTTGTCTATTTTTTGATAGGTCTTTAATGCAGGGGGGGGATTTCTAATTTTTGAGTTCTTTCAGTGTCTACACATTAGTCTTTTGTCTAAGGAATAGCTGGCATATATTTTCCCCATTCTTTAGGTTGTCTCTTCATTGTGCTGGTTGTTCCTCTTGCTGTGTAGAAGCTTTTTAATTTGACATAATCCCTTTTTTGATTTTTTGATGTTATTTCTGTGCAAATGGGGTTCTGTTTAGAAAGTCCTTCTTTACAGCCATGTCTTCAGAGGTTTTACCTATTTTATGTTCCAGCAAATTATGTCTACTTTAGTACTCAGACCTTTTATCTATTTTGATTAAAAAGTTAAATCTGCATCCTATTTTAAAAGATCACAATCTCAACTAAGCATGTATTGCTAACTTCTCTAAGCAACACCTAATTGTTCACAGCCAAATCAGTTATGTTCAAAACTGTTAGTCAATTCAAGGAGTATTTAATGTCACACTCCACAGTTATTAAGACATGTAAAAGGGCTGGGGATTTAGCTCAGCGGCAAAAGCGCCTGCCTGGCAAGCGCAAGGTCATGAGTTCGGTTCCCAGTACCAGAGAAAAACCAAAAAAAAAAAAAAAAAGACATGTTAAATAATTAAATTTACCTAGATATGACAAACATTCCAAGCAATCAAAATACAACAACTTCTTAAAGACATCTTTGAATCTCAGACTGGATTATAAAGACAATGACAAGATAAGGTAAAGAATATGTTGTTTTTACTTTTAATGCTTACATTTCATTGAAATCAGTATAGGAACGAGGGGTGGGAGAAGGCAGTAAGTATACAAACCACAAAAAATAATAAACTAAACCACTACTGACCTCTAACATTATTCCCAACTGACAGTCAACTCCAAACAACAGCAACTGTAATGATCTATACTAAAATGCACAACTTACCTGCAAATCCAGTCAATTTTAAAGACACCGCCCAGCATTTTAGCACTCATTCCTGCTGGAAGAACCCAGTGTATAGGAGACCCTCCATGGTGTGATTCTGAAGAAAGTCTTGCAAAGCCTATGAGAATCAGAAGACCAAATAGTATGGAGATAATATAATAAATTTTTTTTGTTATGACCATATTATTTTTGTTCTTACCTTGAAATTTTCCACTTTCTCTGACAGAAAATATTAAGATAACACTCCTTGCAGATCTAAATGCTAGATTTAATTTCTTCTCATTTACAGGCAGTGTGGACCATACACCCTATATAAGTAAACAAACTGAAATTAACTGCAAATTCAATTTATAAAAGATCAAATGCTACAGATTTCAGTGAGCTTTAAATTCTATAAAACTACAATGAAGAAAGACCTTATTCATCTGCTACGAACATAACGTAGGTGTTAACTTATAAAAAATTCATGAAAAACATGGATGAGGGGCTGGGAATTTAGCTCAGCGGCAAAAGCGCCTGCCTGGCATGCACAAGGTCGTGAGTTCGGTTCCCGGTACCGGAGAAAAACCAAAAAGAAAAAACCAAAAAAAGAAAAACATGGATGAAATTACCAACTTTACAAAATCATTAAAGCAAGAGTATGGTGATCAAATCTTACTAGATGGACTTCTATATACTGAAACTGCCTACCATTGTTTTAAAATCACATCCATTTACTCTTTATGCCATGTGAAAGTGAACCAGTTGTATGTTTATCTCCCAGAATGTATGCTCAATCTAATAATTTAAAATGACTTTGTTATTAAAACCATAAATGAAAAATTCCTGTCGAGATTGTAACATTTCTGAAGTTTTTCTACTTACTTTCAAATTTTTATGTAATGTACAGCTGGAATGAGTATGTACTTCTGAGAAACATTTTAACCAGTTCTTCATCCAAGAAAAACAAAGACATGAAAGTAAGGCGGAAGCTATAATTCAGCTCCAAATCATCTGCTCATACACGCTGCAGTTACTCAGTCACGCTAAGTGTTTAATTACATGACCCTAATTCCACTTCAGCTGAAAAGAACACATTACACACTAAATCCAAGTAATCTCACTTCTAAAAAATGTTAGAAAATTTCCACAAAGTAGTTATTTTTCAAAAAGGGCTCAAAGTATAAAATAGCCCCATAATACAGAAATCGACTGGCTAAGGAAACTTTTTAAAGTATTAATATAATTTATTAGCTACTATATTCGCAAAAAAAGAGAAACAGATCTCTTCTAGTATAAACTATAGTCTTCCATAATGATTACTGTGACTTTTAAAGTCATATTTACAATACTTAAATTAGTACTAAACTGCCTAACTAGCCACAGAGCAGGGTCCTAAATGGAAAGTGGGCTGCAGATCTTGTAAAGCTTTAATGAAAAATCACCCTCTCTTAAGCTACTGTAGACACTTGGGTCTATCTCCCCATTTAAAAATGTCAAGAGTAGGACAGTTTCAACAGAACTGAAGCTAATACCTTAGCTTTGGCAAGAGACACATTCTCATGGTTGTTACTCTTTATGAGGAAAAATCTTGCATCCTGAAGGACATATTTGAGTTTACTGGTTTGATCTGAAAGAAAGAAATCCAAATTGATTAACCACAAACCAGCATCACCCTCCACAACCCAGTTAAACTTTTAAAACTCAATAATCACCCATTCAACCTAGAAAGCTAAGCCACAACATATAATAAAGCAAAACCAAAAAAGGACAACTAGCATTTTGCAGCAAGGTAAATCTAATTTTGTGATGTTCCGATCTATCAGATCCATGTTTAAATGTGGAAATAGGAATGCTTTATAGTTTTACCAGATTCAGTTAATGATTGATGACAAGCTATTAAATGTGTTTGGTATGTTTATGTACATACACACACCATGTCATCGTACCCAAAAAGTAAAATACTCTGAAATACTTGGTACTATGCTAATATATATGCAGAAAAAGTGGAACATGGAGCTTTCTGTGTAAGATTACATTATTTTTCCCCTTAATGTAATACATCGGAACATTACTATATTAAAACCAACTACTAATGGAGACCCAATAAAGCAAAATAAGGACTTTATGGAACATGCAATGAAAACAATTTCAAATTTAAATGATACCTTTTCGGACAGCACGAACGGAAGATGATAATTTCTCATGCTTCTTTTCTGAACCTGCATTTAGCCAAAGTACATTTGTTCAGCTTGAGCTTTAGTAGAGGTAAAACAAAATTTCTACAGTCTTGTCACATAAAATTCTCATTGAAGACAAATTATTCTTCCTGGCGCACCCACACACACACAAAAAAAATACTCCACAATGTGTACGAGTGTTTAGTTTTTGGGTTGTCTGAATTTTTAAAAAATATATTTGAACAGTTTCCCACTCAGAAAACTAGTCACTAAATCATCATCTTCCAAGGGAGAAAAAAAAAAAGTGAAAAATCCACTTAAGCAGTAACAGAACAGGACTAAAATAAGAAAAAGCTTAGTTTCCTCTAGAATTACTACATTGAACATGCCAAAAATCAGTACTAATGGACGTCAACATTTTCACACTAAACTACAGCCTCCACACACTTTCTAAAGCAGATTACATTAGGATCAGTCAGATATTACTGCAAATAAAAATGATTATTACCTGCATATGACTCTGATGCAGAGCTTCCACTCCTATCAAAAACAATTGGTGATATGCCTCTAGCTCTCTTCCGTTCCTTCTTCTTCTCATCTTACAAAAAAATCCAAACAAGATTTTTTAAAAGTCCATCATACACACAGAAACACAGATATCCAACAAGAATGTTCCATCATATATCTGGCTTTCACAAAGTTCTTAAGCATCAGTCACCGTTTATTTGTGAATCCCTCAATTTCCATAGGTATATCATTTAAAAGATACTGTTCAAAAAGTAAAGATACTTTAATTTCAACCAATAAAAACAGACGTGCTGATGCCTGTGATCCCAGCCCTGTGGGAACAGGAGGATCTCAAGTTCAAACCCAGCTTGGCAACTTAAAGGAGAATGTGTCTCAAATTTAAAAATAAAAAAGGTCTGCTGATGTAGCAAATACTACGTTCAATACCCAGCACAAGTTTAAAAAAAAAAAGGCTATAAATATGGTATCAAATATTTAATTGCTCTGTATTGAAAGCCCTGAACAAAGTTTTCCAACAGGTAAAAATCTGAGTATATATATTTTTAACAGTAAGATTTACAAAGTCCTTTCAATGTATCATATAGCACTCTCTAAGTCCTTTTGTTTGTCTGAATTATGCTACCATCTTCACCAGAGCTCCAATTCTGATTTTGACAATGTCTGATAAGCACCAGAATCCAAAGACTTTAACTGGAAAATCTATATATACTGAAATAAACTAGTGATTCCCTTCTGTTGCCAATGCTTCTACTTTTGTGTCTAAAATTCCATCCTCCTCAACGATTTCTTCCCTAGGTCATTCTGTTTACAGTACTCTCAAATGTAATTAAAACTTTTTCTCAAAATCTCAATGACTGTCTGTATTCCCATAAAACTGCTGGAAATCTTCTGTAGACAGAAAAGGTTTGGATGCCCAACATAAGAAGCATTTCAAGTTTAATTTGTAACTTTATAACCACACATGAGCACTTAAAATGAAATCAAGGTCTCCTCTTCTTAATTACACAATGATAGCCTCTCTTCTACTCTTGAGCTGGAAGAAAGAATATGAAGGGAGAAAAGGCATACACTCACTTTTATAAAAACAAAGGAAAGCTGTCTTCATGTATGCACTATGACAGCTACTTAAAAAGCTTTTAATAAATTATCTCCCTTAACGCGTAGAGCAAGAAACATTCTCATTTACATATGAGGAAACTACACAGTAGATAACTGGCCAGGTTTCACAGTTCTTCAGTGCCAGAACACAGACTCAAATGCAGGTCTTTCAGCTTTGGGGTACAAGCACTGAGCTCTGGTATTTTATTGAGCAACAAAAGGTATTTTACCATTATTCCTAAAAGGGAATTGTAGTTTGAACTCCCTTTTGGGTTTTTCTTAGGGGGCGGGGTGCTTTTCTTTCAAAAATTATATTAAATTTTCTCTCCTTGTATGTTTCCTTTTTAAATAAACTGACCAGTTTGAATATTATATATGTCTTGCTGATGTGTAAGAAGTTTATCATATGGTTCAAGATAATGAAAGGATCTCTGAATTTTTACTACTCTCCCAACTATTACTCTCAAGTCAAAATAATAATGAAAATCATCTAAGAAAAGCAAGCAGTGTGATGCTTTCATAAATTACTAAAACACTGGGAAGTTTCCAGAGTCTCTAAAACTTATGATACTGAAACTAAACTATGATCCCTTGTATTTTAAAAACTGACATTTCCTAATCAAGGAGTTCAAACTTCACCCCATTTGTTTTTTTACCATGAAGAGAAAATTTTTCTTTGTAAACAAGGTCTCATTACGTAGTTCAGGCTAGCATTAAGCTATATAGCCCAGGCTGGCTTGAAACCCCAGCAATCCTCCTGCCTCAGCTTCCCAAGGGCTAGGATTATAGATGCGCACCACCATGCCTGGCAGGAGAAAATATGTTATGAGAAAAATAATCTCCCACATATTAAATATGGTGTATGCTTTTTTTTCCTTGTTTTTTTATGACAGGGTCTTGTTATGTAGCCCAGGTTGGCCTCGAACTCACAGTGAGCCTCTTGTCTCAGCCTTCTGAGTGCTAGGATTACAGGTATGTGCCACCACGCCCAGCTTGATGTATGGTTTCTAAAGGAGGCTCCAAGGAAATATTTTCTTTAACAAGGAAAATATAAAGAGTGTAAGGTATCTTTTAAACTCATTATGAAGGTACACAACATTTGTTAACTTCACGCCTTCTCCACAAAGTATAATCCTGGGGTACTCTGATGAGGTCATCTTGGAGCTTGTTAAAAATGCAAACTGTTTCAGAACCTTTCTTTGTAAACAAGTTCCCACTGTTTGACTTACTACAAACATTCAAGACTAAAAAATACTGCTCCTAACCTAAGTACCAAAAAGAAAATCCTTGTAACAAACTATTCCCTACCCCTCTAGATGATTTCATACAAAACTAAACATTCATTGTCCATAATAACTGAGCATACATGTTGCCAATGCATTTTTATTCCCTACCCTTTATAAATTATAAAGGACCCAAGTCATCTATTTGCAAATAGCATGATGAGAGGAAAGAGTCTCTAACTTTTGTTATCATACTCAACTACTCACCTATTTAGTTTTAAACCCATTTACCTTCTTCAAGAAAGTCTAAACTCTCAAACTCCAACTCTTGGGAACAAATGGTTGAAAGCACTTAAATTGTCATCACTAGAAAACAGCTGGTCATTTACTTTATACTGAATCAGTATATTTACTACCAGTGTACTACCATGCTGAAATGCTACATAACAAAACTATGTTTGAAAAGCATGCTTCTTGTATTCTAATGTTTAGAACACTGTGCTTATGCAGCACATGATAGCATCTTGACATAAGACAAACAAGAGGCTACAATCACCATGTAGTGACTACGCCTCTGTAAATTTCCTTACTGGTCCTCCTTACCATACCCTGCTAGGCCCTACAGTAGTGACTACAATTAGACTTAAAAGAGTTTTATCTCCTGGATAGGGATAAAGAGGTAGGACAGCTGGTACTGAAGAGATGACTGATCCAAGACACCTTAATCTTTCCGCAAGAATTTTACACTGTTTTCCATCTTGTACGCTGACAACTCAGAACTCCATAGACTCTGTCTCTGGCAGTTAACTTACAAATACAGAAGTGGAATGAAGGTTTGCATTTCCAAGGAAAAAAGAAGTTCTGTGGGTTTATTGCTGCATGATGAAAATCTAGGGGCATTTGACCAAGGAAATAATATACCACCCAGAGGAGGTTTTATGTGACTACACTTCAAGAACAACATTACTAAAACAAGTTGTTCTGGACTACATAAAAATCCAAGAACAACGTTAAAACATAAAATATACTTCTATGTAAAGAAAACAACTGAACTTACGCTAATTTATAAGAAATTAATTTGTAGCTAAGAAGTACCTTTACTAAAATACTAATACAAATCTTATTCAAAATTATTTATAAGACATGAGAGCACATAATTAATTATGAAGATCACAAAATCATCCTATTACTATCCCCCAATGTCTTAAATTTTTTTATATTTCAGTTTAAACATTCAGGGATGGGGATGTGGCTCAGTGGTACAGCCCTCCCCCCCAAATAGTAAACACTCAAAAGCAAAACCAAGCAAGTCAAAAAAAAAAAAAAAAAAAGATAAACTTTTACATATAAAAAGTAGTACCTGATCCATCTGTGCCCGAACCAGATCTGACAGATCCATCTGTGAAGGAGACAGATTCAGAACCAGAGTCACTGGCCTCACTTCGAGTATCATAATCATTTCCCTCTTCCTTTTGGTCTCTCTCATCTTGTTCATATTCTTCTTCTTCCTCTTCCTCCTCTTCCTCCTCCTCCTCCTCTTCTTCCTCCTCCTCGCCCTCTTCATCTACCTCCTCCTCTTCCTCTGCATCTTCTTCCACTTCCTCCTCCTCTTCTACATCTTCTTCCCCTCCTTCCTCCTCATTCTCAGTGTTGTTGCCTTGCTCATCAGAAGAACCACTGCTGCCAGTCTCATGGTCAGAGCCATATTCTTCAGAATTCACTTCTTCCTTAGATGACTGGCTGGATCTGCTTGCACGTCTATCAACTTCTAGCCCAATTCTCTGATGTTTAAAGAAAAAGGGAATCAGCAGTCATATAACAGACAAAGTCAAGATGAATAAATAGTTCTAATGCCTCAAAAAGAACTGCTGTTTTATATCTGCAATAATATTTACTACCTCGGAAACATCTGGTGTAGGAGATTTGGCCCTCCTCTCAGGATCCCTTTTCCGTAGGCAAGTTTTCTCAGACTGACTCTTGTAAGGTTCTCGGGAGGCACTGCTTGACAGACGAATTTTTCGATCAGCATCTAGACGCTTGTTTCTTTCAGATCTTTGATATTCCTCATTTTTATATTCTGTGACTGGCTTTCCTTTTGTACTAACAATTCTTTTGTTATTGCTAACAGATGAGCTTAATGGCTTAGAAATCAATTGTCTTGAATGGACAGAAGGCTTTTGTCGCTTGGCATCAGTAGATTCCATTCGGTCACTTTTTCTTTTTGATCCTATAAAAGATAATTTAAAAGATACATAAAAGTATTGACAGTGGTCTTTTAAATTCAACAATTTACAGATAACATGGGTCAGAAAGAAAAAAAGCCTCACAAATGTCTTCTAAATTACTACTCTACATTTAATCTAAAAGAAAATTCAGCTTTCAGCTATTAAAGTAAATCCACATATGTGAGAAATTTCACATATTTTTAAAAAATACTTACATGCAATAAGGTCTCTTATGTGAAACAGTGTGTCACGTGCTTTTGTTACTAACCTCTAAGACAAATACAAAAGCAGAGTAATTTTCTTAAGAAATTGCATCTCTTACTTTCACTGTTATTTTTTACGAAAATGTGTGGTTTTTTTTTTAGGTCTTTTTTGAGACAGGGTCTCACTATGCAGTTCAGGCTGGCCTTGGGTTCACCTGATAGCCCAGGCTGGTCTCAAACTCGCAACAATCCTCCTGCCTCAGCCTGCTGAGTGCTAGGATCACAGGCGTGCGCTACCACACCCAGCTCTAAAAATAATAGAATTCAGCATACCCTTCTTCTCGTTTTTATCTTGTTCACTCTCAGGATTATACAGTTCATCATCCTGTTCTGGAACTTCAGTTAAAATATCATCTAGAACATTAAGTTCTCCATCTGCAAACAAATTTAAAAATTAGTAGGAAGGAAGGAAGGAACATTAAGCATTTATTTTTGAATACTGACTACTTATGAAACTATAACCCACTGGACATGGTGGCACAAAGCACCCTGGGAGGCTGAGGTAGGAAGATCAAGTGTGAGTCCAGTCTGGGCAATTTAGTAAAATTTTACAAAAAAAGACAGAGGGCTAGAGGATGCAGCTCTATGTGAAGGCCTTAAGTTCAACTGCCAGCACCATAGAAAGGAGGAAGGGCGGGAGGGAGGAAAGAAGGAATGAACAAAGGGAAGAACCAACCAACCATAACCCTTGAAGAGATCTTATTTCAGGAACAATACCCAAAATTAATTCCTATAAAACAAGGGACTATATAGCCTGTAAGATATGAAAAGATAGTAGGAACCAGCTTAATCAAATAAAGTTAACAACATCAATGATAGAACAGTTTCTATTTAAGTAAAGTATGTGAAAATTACTATGCCTGGATTGGCCTAGTGACTGATTTCTTTGGGTGGTAAGAATTTATCTGTTCTTTATCCAAACTTATCTATCTGAAATGAATACAGTATTATGAGAGTTGTAGCTCTGTTCATTAGAAAAAAAAATCTGACTGAGCTGGGTGTGGTGGGGCATTCCTGTAATCCCAGCAGTAGGCAGGCTGAGGCAAGACTGAGTTCCAGGCCAGCCCGGGCTACATAGCAAGTTTCAGGCCAGTCTGGTCTATACAGCAGGAACCTGTCTCAAAACAACAACAAAACAAAAAAACACTACTGAAAGTTACAGTATGTCAAACAAAACAGCTTCTCTCATCTGGATTCATATTTGCAATGAATGGAATTCTCTCAAAATCTGAGGGGTAAAAAATATCATCTAGAGTACATGAGAAAAATAAAAGGGGTTTTATTTGGTTGGAAGTGTTAAATTCCAACTCAGATACTAGTTGCAATTTTAGAAAGCACCAACAAACTTTTTCAAGATAAAAATATTAACCAATGCTTAATAGACATCTTGTCACTTTAACATTTTAGCACTTTTACAACATATAAACATATCACATGAAAGACATACAGCATGTGTTATCATTACTCTACAGATGAAGAAAAAAGAAGCAGGAGTACTTTATCCAGCATGTGTGAGGCCTAGGGTTGAGCCCTAGCCCAGGAAAAATAATTAGGGTGGGGTAGAAGCTCAAAAATTCAAATTGACCAGAGTTGTTGAGTACAGATGGACACATTATCTGTAGTTCAGGCTTTCTAAACCTATAATCATTTAGATGTGGAACATTAAACACACCTTAAAATACAAAGGATTCAATATAGATACAAATATTGCAAGGCCATATGTATTAACTAACACCCTACTTGATGCTGTATGTAGTTTTACCCATATTACAGTCCACAACATCAACAAGCTAACCATGTAGTTTTATCACAAACTAGCAAACAAAAAGCTAAAAGACACACCAGACCGATGGCCTTCTTCAGTATGGCCTGAGCTATAAGAATGCTTTTTTATCATTAGAGATTTTAAAAAATGACAGAATTTTGTGACTCACTAAGACCACCTAGCTGGATTATGATACTTTCTTCCACAACTGAAACCACTTACATATTCACTGAAGTAAGATGCAGGGGGGAAAGTGTTTCAGATGTCAGGAATTTTAAGCTATCCCTTTAGAGCTGGGTACTGGGTAAATACCATCTTTCTGAGCTCTAGTTTACTCACCTTGAATAAGATGAATGAAGAATAAAAAGATTAGTGTTTGGGAAAGTAGAAAAATGGCAATTAATTGAATCTCCTGAACAGTGTTTTAATGTATAAGCCTTTCCTTATCACTATTAGATTCTAATAAACCTCCACCCCAGCCCTTTTTTGTTAATGACTAGGACATAGGGTATGTTAAAAATTAAAAAAAAAAAAAAAAAAAAAAACCCTCTTTAGTCAATAAATTTATATTCAAGTCCTAATCATCTACTGAATAAGATATCAACCCAAAACTTGCTGGCTTAAGAGAATAAATCGTTTTTACTTATTGTTCATAGTATGGGGACCAACTAGGGCTTCTCTTGTGGCTGCAGTCAGACTTCAGGAGCTAGAAGCATCTGAAGACTAACATCTGGGTCATACTTAAGCTGGAGACTAAAAGCAATTCAGGCTTCTTAGTCATTTTTCTCTATGGTCACTCTCCATTGTGGCAGCTTCAGGTTGGGATTCTTTTGGAAAGAAATAATCCCTTTAAAAATAAGGTAATATTCACTTGGTGTAGAGTAATTTTCCTTAAACTACCTTAGCATTTTAAATCACGTTCACTGTCCTGAAATTTAACATTATTCATATGGCATATAAAGCGATAAGTATACAGTACATTCAATTACTTTGAAGTAGTATGATGGCAGCACTCCAGCCAGATACTATTAACAGTAAAAGAACATATGTTGATAAAGAACTCAACACTTTTTTGATGTCTACAAAGAAGTGTACACTTTTAAAATCATTTTTAAATCTCATACTGTGTTTCAAAATTGAAATGGCATAAAATCAATTTTTTAAAAAATATGCCAGAGGGGTCAGCTCAGTGGCACAGCACCTGCCTGGCAAGTACTAGGTCCTGAATTCGATTCCCAGAACATAAACAAAAAAAAGTAAAATAAATTAGTTCAATGAAACAACTTGCAACAAATTAGGTCAATACTTGATTAAATAGCATCTCCATTTAGAAATAAAATTCAAATATTTTGAAGTTACATACTAGTTTACATAACAATATAACTAGCTACTCGATGCTTTAAAAAAAAAAAATCTCCAAACATGTAATGTATAAACTCACATTTCTTATTTTAAGGACTACTGACCATGAGGGACCCGGATTTTCACCTGAAAATGCACCCACTGGAGTAGTCATGACATTCTATTAGGATATAGAGAAGGTAAAATGCCAAACCTTTGCATGAGACAATCTGGGTTTATGCTTGGTAAACTGGTACTATTCACCAGTACTACTATGTGAACATAGACCATGCATGCTCTTTACTATCTGTATTTGTCTGAACTCAATATGCACATCTGCAATCCCTGAATAAAAAACTGGTGCAAAACAATTTCAAATAAACTAAGGCTCAGTTCAAGATACTGAAGCACAAGACAATGAACTCCAGTTTTAGCAAACAGTCAAGCAACAAGGAAGATATGTTTAGATAAATGTGTAACTAGGCAATTTTGTCATCCTGTAAACATTGTGAATAGTCTTCATAGACGCAGAAGACTGTGTAGCAATATAAATCTTACGGGACAACCTTCATGTATGCTGCCCATTGCTGACTAAAACAATACTGTACTACCCTACTTTGTGAAAGTGTAGGAAAGGGAATATGGACAATCCTGTTCAGCTGCAGTAAAGATTTGCTGCGCTGAGAGAATGCAGAGTTTTCAGTTTGCAAATGTTTCAACTCTATTCCCAAACCAGGATACTTCTGACTTTAACATGTTGCTTCAACAGCTTGACAGTAGTTTGATTCCTCTTACCTGCGCACGTTTTATATTCACATAACCTAATGTATCTGGACTTCATTATCACTCAGCGTTATCACTACCCATGCAAGCTAATACAATTTTACTAAAAACTGTGAAATTCTTAGTAAGAAACTAAAATTTTCACAAACACCAAACTAATCATTGAGGTGAAGGTACAGATTGCCAGGCACAGAAAAAATAAATAGAATCATGGTGTTTTGGAACCTGTTTAAAAACTGGCACGATGTTAAAAGTAACAGGCTAATTTTGTGTTGTTTGGAGAATGTTTGCTTTAGATAAACATGGAAACTGGCTTTCAATATACAGTAGGTAGTTTAGCCTTAGGAAGTTATCTATATGACATGAATTCTGAATGGAAGCCCAAAGAACTAAGTGACTTAACCAAAATTTCACATCTCACAATTCTGTATTCAAATTCAATAGTTTATCCATTACACCACATTTTTACCCTAGTCGTGAAATTTCTGGCCCAAAAAGTCACAAAAGTTACCTCTAGGCTATTAATGTAGAAAAGTAAGCTTTATCTGCAGAAGCTGGTGGATCAGAAGATACAAAAATACTTCAGGAACCAGCACATATTAAGGCTTAGTATTCAAAAAAAGAAAACAAAACTTACACAGACATACTACACATTTTTTCCAATACAGGAACAAAGCATACTACAGGTTTTTAATTTAATTCACTTAATGGAGTTAAAGAGTTTCTGGAACCTACCTTCCATTATCTTACAAAATACATTTTACATTATAGTAATCTCTACCTGTGTCAAAGGTAGCAGTCATTACCTTTGTCATTCAAAATTATCATTCTGCTAAATAATGTTCAGAGACTTGGATTTTCTATCCTACCCATATTTTTATCTTCCAGAAGATACTAACTGAAGCCTAGGGATAGAATTTTTCAATTTCCACCTTCTATAATTGGTTGAGGGAAAAAAAGGAGTATCAACTATCCTATGTTTTGTACCCCACTGAAAGACATTTTTATGCTAAGGTTTTTGAACAGCAAGGGCCAACAGAAAATTCTTACCTTTAGATTTCATATCTCAAACTAGTCTGCTATTAATCAAGTCCAATCATATAAATATTTAAAGCAGAGTCAAAATTACTGTAACAAAAGGAACCTGATGAACACTAACATACTTCTTGCCCTCTTGGAGCTTCCAATCTAATAATGTGAAAAGCATGTTTACTTAGGAAATGGAAACTCATTATATACATACAGTATTGGGCTAAACTTACTATTATTCTTTTCAAAGAAAATGAAAGAGCTTAAATAAAATTTAGAGAGCTATTTATAGTAACAGAAAAGATTTCCTCCTCATATACAAAAAGTTGTGTTTACCAGTAACAATCAACATCCTACAACACCTTCCAAAGTTTTTTAACAGGAATCACAAGTAACTGGCAATCTGTCCAGTCATACAGTATTCAGCTTCTTGAAGCATTGTAAAAACCAGTGTCTTTCTGGTTTTTTTTTTTTGGTTTTTGGTTTTTTTTTCCAGTACCGGGAATCGAACTCACAACCTGGCAATTGCCAGGCAGGCGCTGTGCTGACCTAAACCCCCAGCCCCTAAACCAATGTCTTTCTGTATTTATTAGTTAACCCACAAATCCCAACTCAGTAGAGATTTCTTTTTTTTGCCAGATGAGGTGGCACAAACCTGTAATCCCAACACGTCAGAGGCTGAGGCAAGAGGAAGGCAACTTTAAGATTATGCTAGGTAGACAGAAAATTCACAATCAGCCTGAACCACATAGCAAGATCTTGTCTTTAAAAAAAAGAAATATATTTTAACTGTTCTGTTAATACACAATTACTGTATGCAGTATTTCTGCAACTTAAATTTATGTTCTCAAGATATACCATTTATGAGATTATTTAAGGACTTAGTCTGTGACATGACTAAAATCCTTAGTGTTTATCCTTATTAATTTCTTTATGTCTCACATGATAACTGATGACAAAGTTTTGACATTACCACTTTTCCTTGTTAAGTATAAAGAACATTCAAGCACAGATACTAATTCTCATTATAATTCTAGGCATGTGACAATGATCAAGTAAATGATAACATGCTGCAGATTACTCTAGAATGGTTCCAAAATTAAGAAAGCACTTCTAGTAGGTATATGCTAGCTTTCTGCCTGGCCCAGGGTTTTTTTGGTGTTTTTCAGCATGGGAGATGGGTCAAGGTCTCACTAAATAGTTCTGACTGGCCATAAACTCATAGCAATCTTCTTCCCTCAGCCTCAGAGTGCTGAGATTACAGGTCTGCACCACCACGCCCAGCTGGCCCAATGGTTTTTCCTTGTTCTGATCCTAAAGAGAAAAACTTGCATCAACAGAAGTTCAGTGGGGCTGGGGATTTAGCTCAGCGGCAAAAGCGCCTGCCTGGTAAGTGCAAGGTCGTGAGTTCAGTTCCCGGTACCGGAGGAAAAAAAAAAAAAAAAACAGAAGTTCAGTTGCGAAAATTAAGCTTTAAAAACAAAAACACCAAAAAAAAAACAAAAACACCCCAAACATGAGGCATAGAACACTTGAAAATTTATTCAAAATATTAACTTCTAGATTATGTTACTACTTCTTAATAGGAATGTTTATGTATTTTAAGGACATCATTAATCCATTTCTAAAACAAAACTTTTAAACTATCATCATTTTTCTTATTCTACGCTCCTTACAGTCTACTTTATTACTGATTGAAAGTACGCTCATCTTCACAAAGAATTCTTGAGAAATACAGAATTTTACTTACTTTTGTGTTTAGTTCATCTTACCCATCACAACCACCACAGACTTCCATTTGGATAGCCTACAAACTACCTTGACAATAAAATGTTGAATGAATTATTATTATCACCTATTTTAATAACTGAATTTACTAAAATGCATTTTCCTTTTTTTCAGTAACACCATACTATCCTGTTGTTACTGCCAGAATTCTTAAGAAAAGAAAAGAAAAGAAAAGAAAAGAAAAGAAAAGAAAACGGAGGGTGGAGTGGAGTGGGCTGTGGGGATTAGTTTAAGGCTGGAAAATAATATTGCTACAACATAATCAAACTGCTAGCACATCCTACCCAGCCCACTCCCAAATCTGTCCTTATTCTACAGCCGACTTACTGAAAAGTATAAAAAGACTGCCGAGCTAGAAACTAGGAAAATTAAAAGAGGATCACAAGTCCACTGCATCTTCACTCTAGAGCCCTTCTAGCAACTTATCAACCCAATTAACCACACAGAAGAGCTCTAAGAGATAAAGGGCTGCAACTGGGCCACATTTTCAACAACTATATGGTTCGAAAACTACCACAGTAACGTTAGGTTGAAAAAGATCTTAGGGTAGCAGGTAGCATCCAATCTAGTCTATTCTCTAGAGGTACTGATCCAGGATCTACATTAGTATCTGTAGAGCTTGAGAGCTGAATTGGTATTCTACCCTAGGAACACAGCTATTCCACTTATCCCTCCCATTGACTCCAGTTGACTTCCCTCCAATTGACTTGCGCCCATTGCCTGGTTGTACTCCCTGGGAGCTACACACTACGTGTTTCCAGCAAAATAGCTGTCAGACCCGGGGGGCGGGGTGTCCGAGTTACTTCTTATAAGTATTATACTTTTCAAAGTACTTGAAGAACAAAACTAGCATTTCCTGCCACTTCGCCTACTTAAGGAGATAACGAAAAATGACTTGTGCGTATTTCCGGAAATCAATAGTCTACTTGTCCCATTATATGTGGTTACCAAACCACCTGTGTACAAGCGGCGTTAAGGATGTTCCAAATTTCTCGCCAGAGGAACGTTGCTCGCAAAATACGCATTACATCCGCACAACCCTACCAGGAACTAAGCCCAGAGGCCTGCAGCTGGGAGCAGGCCTTCGCCCGGCGGCTCCCGGGGCAGCTCCACTCGAAGTCGGACGGATCCCATCAGAGGAAAACCCTGCGCGGGAGGAAGAGCTCGGCCCTCGGGGCCCGCGCAGAGAGGGGCAGCGCCGGACCCCGGGCGGCGCCGTCCCGCACAGGCCGCCGTC